TGGCTCAGCTCGACTGGTTTAATACGACGTCCTCACAGAAAACTGGCGTGATATAACTATAACGTTGTATGTCGCCGTGTGAGTGAGGACCTAATCATTTCTCTCCCCAATTCCTAAATGTCTGAAACGCTAATACCCAAAAAGCCGGCAATGCACGTGTAAGTCCACCGGTGTTGCGGGTGCCTAAGGGCGGTGTCGATTGCTTACCATCAGGTTATTTTTCTGCTTGTTCACCGACCTACCACATAAAAAATATAGCTATTAGGCATAGGTGCTTTTTTCCGTTTAGGAACTGGAACATACTTCTTTTGAAGTGACCGTTACTCTAAGACCCGTTTCTGTTTCAAAGCCTTCATAATATAAGTACCCGATAAACGTATGTGGCATTTTGGTTCATACAAATTACGTTTTATATTCAAACTTCTGTCTAATTATAGTACAGCTACACAATTATAGTGATATAAATATTATGAACAAATTGATATAATCAATGCATTTCTCGTACATTATGTCTCTATATTGCCTACGCTAAGTTTGTTTTGCCTTCAACGAGTACTACTTATAAAATTTCCTTTTCCTTTCAACAAATAAAACTTGAATATTCTAAAAAGATCGTAATACCAGGTACTCAATCCCCTGATGAGAAAGCTCTTAATTTGAATTGGTTTAGTTGTATTGTAGTTTATTTTAATGCTTATTAGACCATAAAACCGCTAAGGAAATGGAATGTTAAGTATACAAATATTTCAAAGAGTTCCTCTACGTGATACTCCTTCGTAAAGTTTCGAGGTAAGCCCGTAATTAGACGAGCTTGTTGTAAACATCAAAGCCGATTTTATGAGATTCTCAACGAAGCAGCTTGATAAAACATCTTTTATGTTGATCCCATAACGCGAGTTTGAACAAGTATCTCGCTAATTTGATTTTAATTAAATTTTAGTTAAATTAATTAGGTAATGTGCTTCCGAGTTTGGTGGAACTTTCGTGTTCGTGTTTGTGTTTTTGTTTGGTTTGTTATGTAACTGTTATTATGATATTTGCTTCAAAGGTCAATCCTACTAATATTACAAACGCCAAACTTTGCAAGTATGAATGGATTGATGTTGTTTGTTACTCTTTCACGTATAAACTGTTAAATTGATCTGAATGAAAATTTGCATTGAGGTAAATTATAGTATCGAATTGCACAAAGGCTACGTTTTGCTCTGTGCAAAAACCAGTGACAATAAATGTTATAGTTCAAAAAATCACTCGCTCTGGTGTGAATCGGAGTGATGTGTGTGTCACGTATTTTTACTTAGAATACCTATATATTTAACCTGAGTAGTATATAAAGCTGTTACCGCCAGCTTCCGTATTTTGTTGTTGTTTAAAAATAGAACTCTCAATTTCATTACACAACCGACGAAAATAACAAAAATATTTATAAATACATATAGATAAAAAACACAGTTTTTCTTCCGCATCCCTCAATAAGCTGTCTGAAACATAATAGTGTTGTCGATACCACATTTCCTGCAAACGTCGATAGATGGCAGATATTCCTGGCGGGCCGCCAAAAACAGGCGCGTCGTGTCAAAATAAATGGCCCCACCGTAACTTTTATAATACTCGTAGTGTCATAAAATAAATGAGTTGTATTAATCGTGTCGTGTTGCTATGCCAATTAAATATAACAATATATTCCTGTCACTTTCTTTGGTATGAACATTCATTAAGTTCTTGTTGTTTTTAGGAACTTTGTTTTATTGTGTTGTGATTAATGTGTTCGTTGTAATGTGTGTGTTTGTCTGGCTGAATGTGTAATTACTATGTTTGTTTTCGTAAAAGACATGGTATTTATTTAGTTGCGTTTATAATGACTGGGAATAGAGATTACAGGTAAAAATTCATTTCTTTAGTCGCATTAGTATTTATGTTACTATTAAACAAATAAGGGAAGAAATATCTACCTTAGCTTCGTGTTAGAATTAAGACCATACTTTTTTATAAAGTTAGTATACCTAGTCTAATGCCCAAAATTGTTTTGCGTATACTTTTTCAAAAGAATGTTACAGTACATTAGGATTTGAAACCTCATCAGGTATTGAGTAAGAAAGTGAAAAATCTATATAAAAATAATTTAGGAAAAGTCTGTTTCTTTCACATCTATACAAGGAAAACGCAGACAAGTATCAATTTAAAAACAATAACAACAGAAATGCATTATTGACTGCACCTCGCAGTGTCAAGTGAATCATGATGTTATCGCATCGCGGTCAGTTGTTCTCAGAACTGCAGCCCTATTAGGAACAATAAAAGGAACTGAAGCCGACGCTTTTGTTTACAACCGGAGGATTGATACATATACTTGTACTAGGTAGTTGCTAAGACCCTTGTTAATTTCATTTTTGAGAAAGGATATGCTTTGATTGACATTTACGAGGTGGGGCGAGAGAGAGTGTTTAACTCGTACTGATTTAAGAGTGGAGAGGAGAGTGGGTGTTTTTCAGTAAGAGCCTGAAAGAAGAGAAGATACCCTCACATGAGAAGTAATGTGATGGTATCTCGCTTCAGAAAAAAGCTAAGATTTATAGTAGGTAATATCTTTGCCTTCTTATTGCATTAAAAAATATTAAATCACAAACAGAAAATTAACCTCATACCAATCATTGTTTTTATAAGCCTAAATATAAGTCTTCGACATTATTGACTAAAACAATTTCACATTATTTTATTATAATAACAAAGTTTATTGAAAATAAGACGTTAATCTATTTAATAATAAAATTGACATTTATTTGACATAGTATTATGATGAAAGACTATTATATCTGCGAGAATAAAAGCTTTAATATGATTTGATTATTTAAAAACATTTTCCCTTAATGTATTTTAAATGTAGGCTTTTAAAGACATTACTGAAATGTCGAGCTCACAGATTATACGAAGGCTGTTTTCCTAGAAGCAAAATATTTTGGACGTGCCAAGGACATATTTCGTATAATTTTGTAATATCATTAAAATTGTAAAATAAAATGATATTTTTCATTCAATCATAATTTTAATAAAAGTAAATTATTAAATTAGTAACTCTGCAATGCGTCCAGAAATTCACAACGACAAAATATCTGTAAATAAAAAAAGAGGTAAACTATCGAAAATTCCATAAAATTAATATCAGATTACAAACTATGAGTTTGCAAAAAAAATAAACTAAATCGTTAACGTAGTTGTATTAATTGTCCATCATCAATGTGGTGGTAAAATAATAGACAATGCCTTGTGAAAGCGTAACATGTAGTGATATTATTGTCGAATACAATGATTACTTTACTACTCTTTGCCCTAGTTATGCATTAGCTGACTAAGGGACAGGATGTCTTGTGTGATTGTGTGTAGGTAATGTTAAAGAAACAGAAGTCTACAAGCATTTGATACTAAAACATAATAATTAAAAAAATATTACCCAGAAACTTAGCAGCAAGACTCATTAATAAATCTGAAGCTTTTAAAATCGAATGTTTAGTTCACCTACCGAAACGTGATAATAATCGTAAACCTAATTTACAGTAAAGAGCTATATAGTCTACAAATGAGCTAGCATAGTTAATTAGACAGAAACAAAAACAAAAAGACAGAGACAGAAAAAACTTACACAATAATCGTTCGAAAAATGAAAAGAGTATCAACCCTAGCTTACAAACAGGGCTATCATAACCCATGAATAAAATAAAGGCCTGAACATTTACAAATTACCAAAACAATGTTTTGAATGTTCACCGCAGATCTTTCGAGGTGAGTACAACAAAAGTTTACCCATTAGCGTAACTAGTTAAGTTCTGTTATGTGTATGAAGAGTACGAATGAAAATTTATGAATACATAATTTATTTATTACCTAACTGTAAGAATGGGCCTGCTCGAGTGATATCACGGATTCACAGAAAACCGGCGTGAAAAAACTAGTGTTGTATTTTGCTATGAGAGTACAAAACACGAAACTGTAGTTATTTCACTAGTCTTCATTCTGCCATCCCTCGCTAATCCCTAAATCCCCATAAGGGGCCTAAGGGCTGGCAACGCACGTGAAACTCCTCTAATGCTACGGGTGTATTTTGTACATACGCTAGCCGCTGAATCACATAAAAAATGTTGTCTCAATGTTGTGTCTTAATAATGCAATTTAAGGTTGAAAGGAAAATATCCCTTCTTATGCTACATATAGATATCATAGTTCTAACAAATAACTTCTGTTTCCAGTTCGCACTATTATTCAATAAATTATAACATTATCCATTGCTTTTCATTTCATATTGTATTTTAGTTTTTAGAATGAAACCATTTTAATTAATTTTGGTATTGCGTGCGTTAGGATGCTACAATGGAAAATGTACACAAATATAATGAGGAATTGATTGAGATCAAATGAAGTGCTTCAATAGAGATTACATCAAAAGCACATTAGCAACAATGGTTTATTAATTAACCGGATAATAGAGTATATTAAATTCAACGTAAATTACTACAACAATTCGATAAAGTTACAGGCTTTTCAAGTGAAAAACAGAATTTGATATTAATGTTAAAGTATGTACTTAATATTCGCGATATAATTTAAATATGGAAGCTCGTGGTTTTTAAAGAATAATATAGAATGTTAATTTTAACATAACAGAGGATACTTTTCATTTTACATCCACTAGTTGGCGCCACCTTAAGTTGTGTTTAAAGTCCTGTCATGTAATTTGAAAAATCTTATTCATACTGAAAAATTGTATAAAGAAAAATATAAGCAACATTTTTTGGCCAAATTAGGTCGAAAATAAACATTTCTGTCCAATATTTCAAAAAGGTAAGGTTGAAGCATATTTCTTCGGCGAGGAGAAACTATAACTCAAAAATGGCTCCCGATTGGGACGGAAATGACTACCAACTAATTTAAAGGGACTTACTTGAAAGACGAGAATTGAGGGCCTCATTTATTTTAAGTGCCAAACGAAAGTGAAACTAAATACTCACCATAAACTTTCGACCATTGAGCAGGCGGTCTCCAATCCGGGTAATGTTTCGGGAATTTTTCTCTCGTCCAGTATGTATGCAGCACCATTTTGTACACAGTCATTTTATCCGGGTTGCACACGTCATTATCACCGGTTGCCGCAGCGGCAAGCGCCGGCAGCAACATCACTAGTAACAACCGCGCCATATCGATATCGACTATCGACACTGTCACAACACTAAGGCATAGTGGTTGATGTCACAAAATTTCACCTTTGTACCTGTAAGAAAATATTTTCCATGTTAGTTTGATACGAAAATATAAATAAAAAAAGAAAATGAATGATTAATGCTTATTTATGTTTCTAGTCGAAACTGTTTATTGATACTTGTTTAAATATTAAACTTTTTTAAATATTTTTCTATGGCTTGAACACGCTTTTTGTAGGACTACTTATACATATATCTTATGTATGTGTGTAATGGTAAGGGCTCTGAGGTTAAGGCACGGCCGTAGGGTTTTATACCTAGCAAGTACCAATGTAATATTTTCCACATTACTACTATACTACTTACCACTTTTTATGGATATCGATGACGAAGGAAAACTTCATGAGGAAACGTTAACTTATTCTAATTATAAGGTTGAAATCGACAATTGAATTCGTCTTGAGCAAACGTAATAATCAAAGCTTGTTTCGTGTGAGAAGAGGCGTTTGCTCAACAGTGGGCACTTATAGAGTGATGGTCTTATTTAAATATTAAAAAAAATCATGCAAAATGGGCACAAAGGCGGACTTAAACCCTTTTCTACCAGTCGAACCTTGAGTGATGCAGAGATGAGCGAATGGTTGGTTCAAGAAGCAAGCAAACAGACTTAATTTTCTTATATGATACTTTGTCTCATATATGTGCTTATTATTCATACACTATTTTTAATTATATTATAATATACAATGATAATAATGTATATTAGTCTATTCATATTAGTCTATTATTTATCTGCTTACCAAAACTTTATTTGCTTACGAACTCGCATATTAGAAAAAAAAACATACTAATAGTAATTATTAACAAATAGTACGTATAGGTACATACTTATTTATAGTATCTAAGTTTAAACTTTAATGTCTGTATTTTAAAGTATATATTTCACTGCCATTCATATTGACTCTTATATTCTAAAATGTCGAACGAATGAATGAAAGTGAAGACTGAAGTAGATGCTTCTCCTGTAGTCTGGGTGAACGACCGATCTATTTCTGTCCCTTTGAGGTGAGATATTGGATGGATTTCTACAGAACTTTTGACGCGTCTCCAAGTATTAGGCACTTGACTTAAAGGTGTCTTATTTTTCTTTAGAAATTCTAGCTTTAAAACCGTATGGAGTTCGGATGTTGTTAAGTGTTTTTAGTTTATTTTATTAGACTGTTTTTGAAAGAAGTTTTTTTTTTATTTTTTGTCTTTTGATGGCTTAGTTACGGTGGTTTTTAATGGCGGATCCTTAATGGTTTTCTATAGAATTATCAAAATTTTTGTGTATTTGTAACAAAAAGGTTTTATATGTATAAAAGATTTTTGGAAATGACGACCATTTCCTAAACAATTAAAATAGCGCTATAGAGTGAGTTCACCTAAGTTTACATAGTATACGCGTATGTGTGTATTTGTTTTAACAATTCACCAAATATACTCTTGTTAAAACCACAAACTGAAAAGCTTCGTGAAAAAGGCTATTTGTAAAACAAACTCGGACTTAATTGTTACAGAGGCGATATAGGTTTCGTTCGACTTTAAAAAATACACGGACATTCCAGTAGCTATATTTTATATCTGTGCAAACAGCAGCGGTCGGTAGTGTAGTTAATTTTTATTTTATACGGCTATTTTAGTGGCCAGTGAGTTTGTTTATTTATAATGTATTTTTATATTGAGTTTGGAACGAGTTTCAGTTGTAAACGACAAGTTTATAAAAACGTTCTTCGAGTATGTTTATGGATGTATTTTTAATTAAGATGTCTTCCTATTTTGTAATGATTTTAAAGTAAAACTTTTCACTCGATATGCCTATTATCGAATATTTTTTCTAATGATATTTTGCCTGTCATCAAAAATTTTTTTGTAGTACTTAACTCAGATCTAAGTACTAGATTTCTACATCTAATTTGCAAAGCAATAACCTGCACACGCTACAAAATATCACTGGCCATGCACAAAATAATGCTGCGTACGGGGAAGAGAAACACTGAGTTATCATATTGAGTGATCATAAATATTCGCCGGCCGTTACGTACGTAGTACGTTGTCTATGAAGGGTGGTCGACCTCTTTTTGCCAATATTTCAAAAAGAGTCTGCTGACGTAATGTCACGTCAGTATAGTCCTTTATTCGAAGCTATTCGTTATGCGTTCCACGTTTAAAATAAGGCGGGAAGGCGTATTGTGGACGGGAGACATGACATGCTTATCGTGGGGTTGATTTGTGGGTTATTATGGATAAAATAAACAAAGTTTTATAGGTTGGTCTCAACTAAAAAGAAAATAAATATAACCTTCGAAAAAAATCTCAAATTATCAGTGAAAATCGGCTATACAGATTATAGAATAACCTTTTCATAGAATGAATTAAATACTTACTCGGACTTACTATTAAAATATCATGATTGCCTGTCTAATTTAATATTGTATAAAAGAAAATAAAAACAGAAACAACAAACAATTCCTGTGATATCATAATAAAAAAGAAATAAATTTTTACACTTATTTTTTCTTTATTTAAAAATGAATAAATCTATCACACCGACAAATAAATGCCAAACGATTCAGCTAGAACTAAATGGAATCAAATTTGATCCTTGCAGTGAATAAATAGCTCATAAAATTCAATGGACCTTGTGTCGAACTAACTTTTTATTGACCTCCGTACAAACGATGGAAGTTATTGGGTGGAGCGATTAGTTCGTGATTACGATCGACTTCGAGTAACTGGTAAGTAAGCGTTTGTGCTAAACGCTGTACTAAGTGATTTATAAGATTCATATCATTATACTTTATCAGCCTATAAGTGTCGACTGCTAAGCATTATAAGTAAGGAAATAGGAAAGCAATATTTTCTACGAGCAGGCGTATTACCTGACGGTAAGCAATCAACGCCGCCCATGAACACTCGCAACACCAAAGGAGTTACGAGTGCGTTGTCGGCTTTTTAAAGTTGAGGCTTCTGGATATATAAGGATTGAGAAGGGATGGGGGAGGGAGAGCCATTGGACTTCCGACAACCTCAATCACACCGCGAAACATAATGTTGTAGTTATTTCACGTCGGATTTCTATAAGGCCGTGGTATCACTCTGGTCGAGCTGACCCATTTGTGCCGAAGCTTAGCTCTCCCTCCCTTAATGTGTTATACTGTACATATCATAAGAATATAAATAGGCGTCCCTACGAATTATATTAAGTTATTGAAATATGAATTATGGAAGAAAAGTATTTTCGTCTTTATTCGTATTCGGAACTTGTTAAAGCCGCCCACGTAGTTACCTACACAGAGACAACAAATGTTTTCTAAGTAGACTGTAATAGAAATTATATTTCACTTACAATAAGCATCTACTCAGTCGATATTTTGCTTAAGAACCGACTAGTGAAAAATTCATACGAAAATGCTCAATAAAGTTTTTAGAACAATCAAAGCATAAAACAAACAAAAGACTATCAACAGTTTAATTTTATAATGCTGAAAATATTGTTCGTTTACGTGAACGCCCTAATCTCCTAAACTACTGGTACGAATTTAATTATTCTTTCTGTGTCGGATAGACTATTTATTAAAGAAGACCAAAACATCACGTTACTACTAATAGCAAACCACATAAGAGAAGCTAGTTATCAACATAGCTGGCAACTAAAATAAGGCAAGCGTAAAAAATATGTACTTCTATTTTGAAAGAAAATCAAGATTTCTCAAAGAAAAAGTCGCTAGTCCAATCTCTAATACCAAAGTAATCACCTCACTATATTTAACACGGAACCTTTTTCAACGAGCTCGGTAACGTTTGCAGTTTCAAAGGAATTAACTCGCGTGATCAGAATATATTTGGAAAAAGCTGGAATGTTGGTTTTTTATTGATTTCAATTAAATTGGTTTGTAGGGCAAAGTTACATGGTTCTCGATATATTTATATAGCAACATAGATAGTGAGCAATATTTTGTTCTAAGGGATTAACAAAGAGTTTTGTTATACGGTATAGATATAAGTAATATATTGTGTGAAAATAATCGATTGATTCAAATAATATCACATTCTCTGGTATATTGTAAGACATTCTTTACCGATTTTTGCGGCCAAAAGAAAAAGAACATTAAGTAAAACGAAACCATAATGCTATTCACTTATGTTCCGATTTACAATAACACGCTTGAGTTGGTAATTCTTTGCCAGAGACTGTTGCCCGAAAGCTTATCGGGGTGTCTTCAAGACCCGAGTAAAAAGATTGCTCAAAGGTAAATATGCACAATCGTAGTTCGCATCATTCCTTATCACCAAGCGAGATAGCGGCGAAACCCTAGCCCAGTACTAAATTAAAAAAAAAACAATTAACAATATGCTAATAAAAAAAAACCGTACCCTGAACACGTCCCTATCTACGAGTAATTCCCAAAACTAATACTCGTATCAGTTATTCAGTATATTTTTAAATTGAGGTTCGTCTAACAAATAAAAATATTGATAGGCTCACCTTCCCAGAGGACCTAATACTGACGTACCTAGACCAGGTTTTATATTTATTTTTTTGATAAAATGAAATATTGATACGACATTATTGTTGTATGTATCCTTCGGGGATTTGTGTGTGACGGTCACATTGAGTGGCAAATCAGAAACCTTATATAGAAATTTCGGATACGAATTAATATATTAAAAAAGTATAGTCAGTATTTTTCAATGGTATATTCGTACCTACGTAGGTATAATTATTATTAAAAACATAAGCGGAACAGTATTTCCATCAATAATGAATATGCTTAAATAACTTATGATAACTGATAATACCTACATATTTTTATGTATTTTTTTTTTCGAGGGCGTAAAATCATCTCGTCATGTCCACAATCTTTGATACAAACTAATATTATAAATGCGAAAGTCACTCTATCTGTCTATTTTTCTGTAAAATATTGTTCAGACATAGTTTGGAACTCGAGAAATAGCTTTTAAACCAAAAATCTGCAGGAAGTCACTATTCCACGCGAACAAAAGTCGCTGCAAAGTAAGTAATATA